GCAGAAAGGTGATGGGAAAACCAAGAAAAGAATGTAAAATTTTGAAAATCCTTTTAGCTGAACCCAGACCATTTTGTCCAACCTGAACTTATTTTTTTTTAAATTCTTTGTAAAGCTTTTTAATTGTCTTTATACCACTTTTGGGTTTAAGTAGAAAATGAGTTAAAAATCCTCAAGAATATCACTTAGTAAATGGCTAAAATCTAGAGACCTGCCCATGTTCTCCCTCCACTGTCTTTGAAGCCATGACCCCGTGGGATCAAATGAGAAATAATATGTTATAGTGTTAATTTGTGTCATACAACTCACAGTTAACCCTCGAGCATCAGCATGAACATCTCCACCAGGAAACCCAGCGCTCCCAGGAGCTGGTCTGACAGACCTGCAGGCTTTCTCCACAGCTCCTGGCTTCTTGCCTACTTAGTGGTTGTCAGTTCATTTGTTTGAGAGCTTCTTGCTAGAAAAGGGTTTTCTATTCTCTGGGAAAGGGAGATAATGTTAGAAAAAAGAACAGTCCATTGCATTGGAGAGTGATGGAGGAGGGTACGGGATGTGCACACCAAGCAGATTAGAAAGTGCCATCTAAACTCTTCCCTGGCCCAAGGGGAAATACAGGCCATCCCGGTGACAGTGTGGTCACAGGACTTCACAAGACTCTGGGAAGCCCTCAGCTTGGCCACCTGGAATTTCTGGAAAAAAGAAAAAAAAAAAGTTTTTGACCAATAGTCATAACCCAGGAGTAGGTAGGAGAAATAGTTTTTCACCCTGAAAACCTTTCTTTTCCATTTTTTCATTACCAAAACACTCTGAGTATCTCCAGAAATGGATTTTCACATATGCCTTGTGAATCTCCATATCTAGCTAGGACAGGAGTAATACACTTGAGCTAGTTTATATACTTGCTTTCTTATTTACCACCTCTAATGTGATAAATTGTTATAGAAGGTTTTTATCCACATTCTTGTTTCGGTAGAAACCTGTGCAGTGTTTTATGCATGAGCTTTACACCGCTGCAGCTAGAAGGCATGCAGATGAGGAATGCCTCTTCAAATAATCCTCTAGCTAGGAAATATAAACAATCCTCCCTGAGCTCCAGCAGAAAACCACAAATTGTGGTGCAAATTGTATTTCCATGAAGTTCTATGTTTGAACACAAAAGAGAAGCAGAAGGGAAAGCAATTCGAATTATGGACATGGGTGAAGCAGAGGGCAATTTAGGATGAAATGCAGGTGGACAGTGTGGCAAGACTCATGGCTTTCCTAGAACTGAGGGTCACTGAGTTGAATGTCAGAAGATCCCCTGTATGGGGGATTAGGTGCCATCTCAACCAAGTAACCAGACAAGTCTGGGGAACTCTCCTTCTCAGTATCCCATATCAGAGCAACCGGGAGAGTAAGTACCACCACCTTCGTATCGCCATCCTCTTCTTTGTTTGCCAGAGCTACAGATCTTGTACTCAAAAGAAAGCAGTTTGCTGGTTGTATAGACTACCACTGAGTGCTCCAAAGCCTGCTGAAGGCCATCACTTCTTGCCACTGATTTAAACCAAAAGAGGGTAGATTTAGATTGAATATAAAGAAGAAATCTTTATTCTGAGGAGGGCGAGACACTGGAACAGGTTGCCCAGAACCTGGGGATGCCCCATCACTGGAAATGTTCAAGACCAGGTTGGATGGGACTTCAAGAAACCTCATCAAGTAAAAGATGTCTCTGCCCATAGTGAGGGGGGGGCTGGACTAGCTGATCCTTAAAACGTCCCCTCCAGCCCAAATAATTCTATGATTCTATGATAAATGTAAAAGGTTTAGGATAAAGTCCTAAACTGCAATGAGCTCTGGCTCCCAAGTCAGTGAGAGAGCAGGAGAAGCCATGCTGCTAGGAAATACCAGCCTACAACAGCAAGAGGACTGGGATGCCAGCATGCAGTCCTGCACACTGAGGCACCCACTGATAGTCCAAGGAGCTATAATGATCAGTAGTTCAGCCCTGTTTGAATTTAAGACCAGTCTGAATTTCATGTACAATTTTCATATTCTGTGTCATAATTACAAAAATTGCAAATAACTTTTTAATATCAACGTTAAAAAAATAGACAAATCTTTCACAACATTTTTATTGCCTATTTACAATCTCAAATCAAATGGTTTACAACTTAGTGTTCTGAAAATATACAACCTAAGAAAACACTAGCCTGGCAAAATTATGCTTTTATGATAATGACAGGGATGAGTTATAGTTACACTAGTTAAACTATAATGGCTGCACAGATGCTAGGGAAAAGCATTGTACAACATGTTTTGCCACCATAAGCATGGCACCTGCTAGCTCCACCACGGTACATATAAAAGCATGTTAGCATTTCTTTATGAATATTATTTTCAAGGATTATAATTGGACCATAAACATTTACTTGGGGATAAAATATCAGTATGTGGGCTTTAAAAATTACCTTGAGAAATACTCAGCCAGTTTTGCATATCTGGATTTCAGAAGCAAGTTGATGACAGACAATATATAATTTATTTCTCATCTCCTGGGACTGAAAAATAGTCTGCATTCTTCTCATGGTCTATATGAATTTGCAGCAGGTGAATTTAGTGATATTTACAGAGCCTGAAACTAAATCCTTCAGCCCACTGGCTACTAGGAATTAGTATTTATCCACAGATTATGTGTGACACAAACGGCTATGTCAGGAGTTTCCTATGGTTCTTGTCAAGCTGCCCCTGTGCACACCTTTGGTCCCACTCACTCCTGAGATGCTGCTCAAAGACACCAGCACTGGTTGTTCTGACCCACCTCCATTTGCTGAATTTAGTCTCACACACCAGCCACGGGCATGGAATTTTAATCTGTTATTTTCCATGGAAATGGGTGAAGAATACAGTGGCCATGAGCTCTTGCACAGAGTAGAGCTAACCACCAGCCGTAATGCATGTTACAGATGTGTTAGATGTGGACAAGCTGATTACACTCACCACAGCAAGAAAATACAGGAATTGAGGTGAATAACATGTAAGACACTACAATAATTTCCTCTGATTCCCATTACAGAAAAGTACCTATTATATGCTGTCAGTAGATATGAGAGGATTCTGGTCAAAGCATATTGTCTGTCTTCCTTAGCAAGGCAATTTAATAAATAGCTATGAAGAACGGAAAAAAGGGCACTAACAGGTTGTGTAAAGTCAGAGTCAACTAACCCAGTTCTGCTTTTTAAAAACTGCTATAAATCAGAAGCAAGGCAGTTTGAATTACTGGAATTTCAGTGAGGTAAAGCACCTCCAACGAGAAGAACCACTGCTAAAAATCAAAGTAGACATTTGCTTGTGTGTCAAGGATTGCAGTTTTTAGTGAGGGAAAAATCTTCCCAAGTCTATATCCCAGCTTCTTCTCTACTTTACACCTTCTCAGTGCAGCTGGACAGAGTATGAATGAAGGTAAGACATTATCCATTTCATACTCCACCACTGAATCTGCTCTATCTTACTCAATATTAAAGCCCTGCTAACGCCTTAGGCAGCAGTAGCTGACCCTTTGTATTAACACCTCCTCTGCAGTGGATGCCCCATGCATATGCTTATTGATGTATTTTAGAGTGGAAATAATTTTTTATTTGGAGTATCTGCTCTGGTTTCATATTCCCAAGCAAACAACTCTTGTATCTATTTTTTTCACGCCATGTATTTCCCCCTACACCCTGTTATAACATAGTGTTATATTCCACAGAAAAAGCTTTCTTATGTCCACCTTTTTCAAAAGTCTAGGAGACACTTAAACTTGACTTTAAAGGGCTCTTTGTTGCTCGGATGAATTTTCCCCTAATTGTATCCTTTAACTCCAAAAGGGGTTTGGGGACATACTTTGTATGAAAGATGCTATAGAAAACATAAGTTGCATTGCTAGTGGTTCTGCTTTTATATTTCCATCCAGGTAACTCTCTGCACACCAATTTGCTTTCTCTTTTCCAATACCATTTTCCTCCTGGGGCTGGTTCCTGGGACAGAGCTCTCTTCAAATAATTTAATTATCATGTGGCATACACCTTTTTAGTCTCCCCTGAAATGGTGCGTGATGCCTTTGGTTTACATCACTTGCTGGAAAACACTCCAAAGCATTGAAAAACTATTAAATTGTTACAGTATTGGATGCCAACACACAGGGCTATTAGTCTAATTCATCCTTCAGATCAAAGCCCACACAGGCAGCTCTCCTGCCTACAGCTATTTTCCTTTTACTTTCCTGCTTGACAGTAGTCCCTCATATCCCTCTGTTCTACTTTCTTTGAACATACACATTTTCCTTTAGTCATGGAAATATAATTTATGTCTATTATACTGTATTATAGATTGCAGATCAGGACAAGCGTGCGTTACTGCCTGGAACGTCTGTTTATTGTACGTCGGGTTTCTAAAAATAAATAAATAAGAAAGCCACCCTGCTTCGCTGGGGAGAGAAAAATATGAAGGGGGACGACTTGGGGGCTGGGGGGAGCTGCACTCTGTTCTCAAAGTTTAATTTCCAAGTAGAGACCTTGAAGCATGATTTATTAACATCATGCTGTTTGCTTTTGTCACGTTGTGGATGTGGCGGGGGGAGCTCTGGCCCCTCTCCAGCCCGGACCACCCAGCGAGCTGAGCGGAGCTACCGGCGGTGCGCACCCCGGTTCAAAGGTTCACCCCCAATTCACCAGCTCCATCAGTCACCACCCCATTGGAGGCAACAGCAATAACAACAATAACAACCCTGCCCCTCCTCCTCCTCTCCCCCCCCCAAAAAAAATCCCTAACAGACGGGCTGTCTGGGACGCGAGAATTGCAAAACCAATCCCCACCCCATCACGGAGAGGATGTGTGCGCGGAGGAGAGGGAGCGTGAGGAGGGGGGAGAGAGGGAACGAGACAGGCAGAGGGGAGGGAAGAAGGGAGGAGGGAGTCCAAGCTCTGAGAAACATCACTCCATCTCTCTCACTCCACAGGAGCTGAGCAAGGAGCAGGACAATGTTTGACAACACGCAGTACCCCTATAACTGCTTTAATTACGACGGGGATGATTATCCTACCTGTAGTTCTGACGAAGAGAAAAAATTCACCAGACCGGCGTACAGGTAAGATGAAGTTTTTCCAAGTCCCCACATCTCTGGGGAGGTTTTGAGGTCTGGGATGGTGGGATCACAGCTCGTGGGGGAGCGCGAGACCTCTCCCCAGGTGTGCGCCATGGGTCTGGCCCCAGCGCAGGCACTGCAGCGGGCAGATGCCTCCCCCTCTGGGTTTGAAGTGTTCATGATTTCTGCACGGGGTCACAGCAACTCCGGCATGTCGTTGAGCCGCCAAACCTCAGCTGGTCTCCTCCGACCTCCAGGAGCCCTGGGAGAGGGGGAATTAAAAGTGCAACGTGCCAGTGGGTGAATCGGGCGTAGATAACCCCGGTGCGGTGGGAAGATGCTCGGTGCAGATGTTCCCAGGGGCAGCTAAGGTCCTTTCCACGAGCAGGCAAGGTCTCTAGTGACTCTGAGCTTGGTCTGTCTCACTGCAGCCTTCCAGCTCAGGGAAACTTTTCTGACAGGGTTGGAGAGGTGGATGATCTCTCTGTAATCCTCCCGTACCTAAGCCCTCTCCACTGAGGGCCAGGGCAAACAGCCCAGTTGGGGTTCAATTGCCTGGAAGTAACGCCTGCGTGTCACCCGGGGGCTCGGGCAGAGAGGCAGGACCACGCTCGGGGTTTATCTCTGGGATGTCGTGGGTCAGGGCGCAGATCCACTGGGAGAACTTTTGTAAGCGGGATATAGGCACACATGTACCCATGTGTTTCTAAAAAACAGTGTGTGAGGTGATGATGTAACAGCAAGTTTTCCTTTTTTCAGCTACATTGCCTTAATTGCAATGGCCATCCAGCAAAGTCCTTCAAATAAAGTCACCCTCTCTGGCATTTATGACTTTATAATGAAGAAATTTCCTTACTACAGATCAAATCAAAGAGCCTGGCAGAACTCCATCCGACATAACTTATCGCTTAACAGTTGTTTTGTAAAGGTAAGATCAGTAACTGTATATTTACATACACACTCTGCATGGCTAAAAAAATATATGCAGGAATAATCTCATCACTAGGAAAGAAGGGAAACAAACAGCTGAGCTGCGAATCACTTAAAATCTCTCCGAGTTGTCAATTACAGAGATAAAGAGTATGTTCTTGTCTGATGCGTGCTAATAGATAACAAATTGAAGAGGATACAATTTACATCCTATTCGTATAATGAAAGAGAAAAGGCTTAAAAGTCTTGTCATATGTGTTTACACCATTCTTGAATGTAAATGAATGCAGATGTTCAGCAGCAGCATCTGTAACACATACAAATACTGAACTGCCTTTAAATAAATACAGGTTCCCAGAACAGAAGGGAATGAGAAGGGGAAAGGAAACTATTGGAGCTTTGCGACGGGATGCGAATCCATGCTGGATCTCTTTGAAAATGGGAATTACAGGCGAAGACGGAGGAGGAGGAACGTGAAAAGGGAACATAAGGACCAGAGACCAACTAGAGGGAAAAGTCCTTCATCCCCTGATATGTCTTCTATGGACTCTGCTTTAAACAACATTTCCTCTTCTCAAAGTAAACATGGAAGAATTGAATCAGGACCAAGACTACTGGATCCTCGTGGGTTTGCTCCAAACAGCGTGACCAACAGGCAGAGCCTAAGCAATTCCTCCTTAGCAAAATCGGATTCTGAAATTAAATTCAGTATTGATTACATTCTTTCAGCCCCCGACCCTTTGCCTGTCCTAAGGTCTCAGTATACTATGCAAGAAAATAAATATCATCTACTGGAGGCCCAGCAAATTAATCTCCAGTTCTGGACAATGTGATGCTATTTATTCACGGTACCGAAGTCTGAGTTGCAGTGTATTCAGCAGCCTCGTGTCACTGAAAATCAGCCGCCTGCCTCCTTGTTTTCTCCCCGAGCAGTACTCAGAAAGGGTTACGGATTCACCAGCTGATCCTCTGTCTGTACCCAAAGAACTTTACTGAGGTTAAAGTATAAGTAACAGTTGCCAATATCAGTTTTCACTATGCTGAAATTAATGAAATTCTGCTTTGTTTTCTAAACTGTCGTGGACATAATTTAACACCACAAAGAATTTCCTTTCTCGAGCAGAATCCGATAGAAAAGAGACTTGCTTATCACCCATTGCTTTATTAAAGACAAAGTGAATTTGACTCCACTTTCCCTGGTGGAAATTAGGATTAATTCCACTGAAGTATATGGGTCAGAACTTAAGCTGATCTAAACCAGTGTAATTCTGTCGACTTACACTGGCTGAGAATGTAAGGGGGGGGAGGGGGGGGCTTTGTTTTCTTAGAAGGACTTATGGAAAATCACTCTGTCTTCCCCTATTTTTTATTTTAACATGTTTCAAACTGTTGTGCAGCTTTGATTCATAATTAATTAGAAAATGTAGTTATTAGTAAGTGTTTAAAGTATATTTTTATTCCTATTCAGGGCAGAGTTGTTTAAACTGTTGAAGTGAAGTTGTATTCAAAATAATTCCAAGAAAGCTAATTGCAAGGTTATTGAACTCTGGTAGACTTTGAGGGATAATGTGACAGAGCTATAGGGACTCTTAATGCCTTGGTTTAAAAAAAAAACAAACCCCCACAAAAATCTCTCCCCTGGTACTATCAGAAAGCTTCCTGGAATGCTGCAAGAAAGTCCTTGAACGTATTTGATTTAGCAAGTGTGAAGGGAGACACGGCTTTGCAAGAAACTGTATCCAGTGTTGACCACAGCCAGAATCCCACCTACCTGCTCTGAGACAAGTTATATATTCCTATTAAATAGATTTTTATTGATCCTTCTTGCAAGCAATTACCAAAGTGGTACTTGATACGATTTCAGCAAAGCTGGTGATACCTATAATTTACAGATAGCATTGTTAGATGATGAGCTCCATTCCTAAAGAAAGACGTTTCGTTACCATTTACGTGCAGCGGGGTATTTCAGAACAGACCCTGACGGACAATGATGAACTGTAACGAGCATTTAAGAACTTGCTTTTATACAACTTGTCCACGAAGAATGGCTTCGCAGCACCTAACAGCAGCATGAGTAGATACTCCACAAAACATTGGGTTTGGCTTGGCTACTACAGTCTTCACCTACTGCAGATAAAAGGAAAAAAAAAAAAACCCCAAACAACCAAGGATTCTGGTGGGTTTAAGCAATTATATATGGAGAAATAAAATTATCTTTGCAACATGAACTAAAGGTAAATGAAGGTATACGAGATAAGATTAAGCAAAATTCTGCTAGGGATATGCTCAGGCATGACTTGAATTTTTATGCAGAAGCTTTGACATTTCACTAAGTTATTTTACATTGTGTCTAATATATACTGTACATTTATACCATATATTCTTATATAATGTTACTGAGAAAGGCAGCAATATCACTGCACTTATATGTTGTAAAAATGCATGATATATGTCGTCATGATGCTGAAACTCCTGCCATATACTTAAAATTTACCATCAGTGATATTTCACAATGATTGGTAATAAATGCTCATTTTTTGGAAAACTATAAAACTTGCAATCTTCAGGCAATTCCATAGCATGCAAAAGTCTCTGCTGTTTCTTCAGAAAAGACAAAATGGAAAATCACATCGATTACATCACTGCATGTCTTCCAAACTTTAACAGAATGATTTTTTACGGCCAAATTCTGCCTTCAAATGGGAGCTTTCACTTCTCTGTAAATCAGTGGTTATTCTGGGAGATTATCTGAAAGCAAAATTTGACTCATCAGACCTGATCGATCTGCTGTTTACACTGATAGAAAAAGAAACCCTCTGGGGTCACTGGACAGATGGATTCTCATTTGAAGAGGGGTGAGAATTTGCTCCTTTAGTATTTATGCTCGGTAGTGAATAGGTGTCTGAAGAGCATGTCCTCATTTAGTACTTCAGTGTATGCATGGACTCACATGTGGGTTGGTATGTGCACACCTCTAGGATCCTACCTATATTTATATATTCATGCTTTATATGCAAATTTTCTTCTTGGTTGTTTTCAACATGGCAGTGCTGCTGTTAGGCTGATAGTTATAGTACACAACTACAGTATATTTGAAATATATATTTTTTGCTGTGAAATGTGTGAATATGATTCTTCCTATGTTTTCTTTGTTAATGCTGTTAGCAAAAGGTAACTCGATGGGAAAAGTTCCTACTAAGCCTACACCTTACCTAGGTGAACTGCTGAGACCAATGGAGATACAGTTATGGCTACTAAGCAATGTAAGATAAATACATTAGGAAAGGCAGAAATGCACCCAGGTGGACTTACAGCAGAGATCCAAAACCATTTTCAGTAAGATGAATTAATATTCACAAATAGCCATGTCCTTTGCTCACAGTAAAGTGCCTGCTAGGAGAGACTGTCATACTTGAGTTTCCCTAACATATAATCAAATAAATTTGTGTACAAATAGGTGTTAACATTTGTTTTGCAAAGGATATCAATCATATTTCAAAAAATGAAGGGACATATTTCAATTTACCCAGTATATTATATTCTGACGACTCCAGAAAGGTTTCCAGCACTTAAAGTGAATGGCATTTAATATAGAACAACATAACAGGGGTGAGGGCTAGACGTGACCTTATTCAAATGTCGTAGCCATTACAAAGCCATTCCCAATGTAATTATAATTAAATACTTTATGCCTTTCTTGCAAATCCTCTGATCGATCATTGATATTAACATTAATATTGTATTACCCCCAAGCAAATGTCTCCCACACAAGTGTTATGGATCACCAGGTTTCCATTAACAAAGTTGTGAGCTATTGCCGTATGCTGGTCGTGGATAAATTTACGTAAATTACCTTTTCTCAGGGAAGGAGGGGAAAAAGTCTATTTTTTTCTTTTTATCCCTGCACTCTGAGTCTAGAGCTATTTCTTCATCTCCATCACAGCCTGCCAGCCACTCACATAAAGCCATAACCAAATTAAAAGGAACATCTCACAGTAACATTCCTCTTTGCCCCTGTGTTAAAGCAGGTGAATATTCTCCAAACGTAGCTGGTTTGGTACACAGGTTAAAAGCTGAAGCCAGGGCTGAGCAGTGCAAGGCAGGGGTTTGCAGCCCACCAAGGCCATCAGCAGGCTGGTAAGGCTGTGCACAGCAGCCACAGTGAGAAAAGGTGTTGGTGTTTGGCTCAATTCCTCATCTGGAGGGGTCTTACTAACCACAGAGAGACCCAGAAAAAGCCATGGATTTCCTAACCCCAAAAGAGGTGCTTCCTTTGCAGGGCTGACACTGCCTGCCCCAAGCCTGGGATAAGGCAGGAGGCAGGCGTGGAAGAGCAGCTCCTCCCTGCCAGGCTGGTGGGCAAGGCAGGGGGAGAACAAGTCTCTTGTCCTCTCCTTCAAGGATCATAAATACCTTTGCAAAGGAAAGATGAAAGGTTTCTTTCTGGGGAGAAGCTAGGCTCAGCCTCACTGAGGGACCCTGGGGTGTTCTGTTTATTTATCCTTTGAAAAGAAGTCTTCCCATGATAAAACAAAGATTTTGATGGAGCTACGCCAGGTTATTCTGCAGTGATTTGACTTCTAATGATTTAATTTCTTAGGCTTTTGTCATTGGTGTCACAGAAGTGTTATTTGCACAGCAAGATGATGCTCCGCCTCAGAATGAAATTCAAAGTACTTGCGCAAGGATACAGCACCTTTTTTTTTTTCCCCACCACCAGTGAAGACAGGTCATACCAACACCCAATGCAGGCCAGTAGTTGACCTCAGCTATGGGAACCTCTCCCCCAGCAAAACCTCCTCGTTATGGGAGAGTTAATGCAAATTAGGATAGCTGAAAACAAACCTTTTCTTTGTCAGTAAAGCCAAGTGCCCCTATTTTTCTGCCAATCAGATAGATATTATTAGTTGGGACCCATTAACTCCCCGTATAAACAGAAGCTGTTTTAAGGAGCATTTGAAGGTCAAACCACGCTGGAGAGCTGGCTCTCCACATGCCTTTGCTTGTGCTCCATCTTGTTGCTTGGGCTGCCACAACCTTCCTCAGCTGTGCAGCAGGTTGCTCCTCAGCTACCTTGCAGACCAACCTGCATACTCCCTCGAAGCTGAATCAAAAATTTTGCACTATTTTCTGGTCACAGAGCGTTTTCCTTTTGGGTAGCGATTTGCCTGTTCAAGTCCAAATCTTGCGTGTCCTCTCCACTCTCTACCCATAGAGGGGACACACTGGGAGGGAAAGGGGTTTGGAGGGACAAGCCTTGGGGAAAAAGTTCTGCTACATGTCTTCCAGTAGCACATAGCTGGTTGGGACTCTGCAATCGGTACAGCGCAAGGGCCCTTGGGTTGTGTATCAAGTCCGTGTATGGTAAATCAAGGGCAGCATCTCCCCAGTGTCCCACCACACTCAAGCAAAAGAGGGAATCTTGCCCACACACCCCTAAGCACACAGGGCTTTAGTCTTCGCTTCTGGCAGTGTAACACAAAGCCCCTTCCGTGATCAGCACTTCAGATCCCAAACCCAAGGCATGGAAATCCTGCACTGCTCATGCCAGCTGGCCTCTCCCCTCTCTGTCTCCTCTGGGGCATATTCTCCTCACTGCTGTGTGGGTGTAAATCCTTGCAAATCCATTAACTTTGGTACAATTACTTTTGGAATTAAAATAACACGTATGAAACTGAACTCTGCATATTATACCAAACATCTTTCCTCACATGGTCATCTAAACTGTGCCAGCAACTCATCTCCTAGATAGAATTCTCAGAGCAACAGATGGTCCTGCCTCTTTATTTTGCCTCAGCATCCAGCTTCTAATTGCTTTCTCCAGAACATGGGT